CAATGGCGATGGAAACGGTGGAAATGGAAACGGTGGAAATGGCAATGGCAATGGAAACGGTGGAAATGGAAACGGAAACGGAAACGGTGGAAATGGCAATGGCGATGGAAACGGTGGAAATGGCAACGGAAACGGTGCCGCACCCTTTTCTAAGGCAAATGGAAGCGATAAAACACCTGCCGCTAAAAATAACAACAATGTTCCAACAAATGAGCCAGAGGCAACCGGAAAAGATGAAGACAAAGTAAGAAATGAAGAGACCAAAGGTTCATTCGGCCATTCATACGGTGGATATCCATCTAAAGCATACGCTAGTGAATGTGGAAGTGTGCTTTTCTGTGAATCAAGTAAGCCTAGATCTTACGAGTCGCCATGTATCACGTCTTATCCCGCATCGCAGTGTTATGAGAGTAGCAGCAGTTGCTATCCGACCAAAGAGCCGGTCTGTCCGCCATCTTATCCCGCATCGCAGTGTTATGAGAGTAGCAGCAGTTGCTATCCGACCAAAGAGCCGGTCTGTCCGCCATCTTATCCCGCATCGCAGTGTTATGAGAGTAGCAGCAGTTGCTATCCGACCAAAGAGCCGGTCTGTCCGCCATCTTATCCCGCATCATCATGCTATGATGGTAACAGCAACTGGCATGCAGCTAAAGAATCTTCGTGCTCACCTCTTTATCCCGCATCGCAGTGCTATGATGGTAACAGCAACTGGAATGGCGCTAAAGACAGTTCATCGTGTGGCTCATCATCATTCTGTGCAAGCGATTGCTTCTCATCGTGCAGGCCCGGATATTCAAGTTACCGCCCATCATACAGGAAAAGAGGCAGAAAGAGTGCTTGTCAAGGATTTTCATCCTGCATGTCGTAGTAATATGCGATAAAACCAAATAATTGTGAAAATAAAATGAAGTAGTTTGCAATTATCGTTTTTTACCGAATTGTACCGCTGTAATGGGCGAATAATCGATATTAAAACATTCTAACCGTTACCACGTTACTTCCGCTAGCACTTTCATTCAATAGCAAGTAATTTTTACATATACGGCTGACACTCCAAAATCGTGCATTTCTAATAGGCAGTACAATTTTCATACAAATTTGTCACTGCACTCACCCATGGAGATGATGCTGTCTTTATGGTTATGTAAAACACCTTTTTTATCATCATTGTTTTGATTGTTTACCAAACCATTAGTGTTTAGTTTATTATTATTTCTTTCAATCTTCAATTTTTCTTGCTCCATTACCAACTTGTAGTTGGAAATCAACTTCTGAAGATTACAGCATTTCTTTTGACTCCTTGACTTCCTTTTTAATTGACATTATTTTTTCGCCACTCTTCATCTTGTCGATCCAAGTCTCCATAATAAATTTTTGCAGCCTTGTAAACGGCTTAGCAAACGGTTTAACAACAGCTTCCTTGATGGAAGAAGATGATTTATCAGGAGAATTAAAATTTTTAAAAGTGTGTGTAAACTTTCTGCTTCCACCTCGGCTGCGCCACTTGGTGTGTCCGTGTACTTTTTTTGTTTTTTGTTATTTTTATTTTTTACTATTTTTTTTGGTTTTATATTTTTTTTTGGAACATGCACAATACCGAAGTGCTTTTTTAAGAACTGTGCACGGAGCACAGGAACATTTTGCAGACTCTCGTAGGTCCGACCAATAAATAAAGCTTTGCCGCGGCAGACAATCAGCTGATTATCTACAGCACAGACAAAACCACCAGGATTTAACAATTGTGTTTTCTCCACCAAAAACTTTTCAGTTGGTGTATTGTCAAAGTAGGACTATATTATGCATCGACTTCTTAACTTATTTATAGTTTTGATTCTTCCAGAAAAATGAACGCTAGTCGATGATGAGAACATACAAAATGTTCACAAAAATGTCAATTTGATTGTGATGTTATGTTCTGTTACATTGACCAAAAACTCACTTTTACATTCATTTCTTCGTATTTCATTCTTTTTCTGGTAAATCATCAAAATATACTGTGAATGCTATCATAATTTGTTACAATGTTGAGGACATCAAACAAAAGTTAAAAGTGCAGATATGTTATTTATTTCATGCATTTTGATTAGACGTGATGGTGTTCATAAAAACAGCCAACTAAATAATAGAGGGGTTCAATAAATAAAAATAGAATGAAAATATTGTTTGTAAATGATGACTAAGTGCATCTCAGAAAGAATGAGTTGTACAACAACTTTAGACTCTTCATGCAGTACAAATACATGGAACAAAAATTTTTATTTTTCTCGAAGGGTCAAATGATTCATTTCACAGAACCGACTTCTGAACATTTGAATTGTCTTTCATTTATATGAAAAATGGCGGTGTGTCTTCGTTCGTTTGATCTCCTATTGCTACCCCTTTTGTTTGCCACGCGGTTTTCGTACAGAATGATAGCATGAATCAGGACTGATGAAGTGTGCGGAAATGAACAAACACGGTTTGAGAAAAACTTCGAAAATATCACGAGTGTCTGATCCTGATAGCTCGAACAGACATTTTGCTTGTACTGGGTATGATGTAGTTTAAATAACAGGTAATGCTTAACGAACCAGGTATGTATCAGAGTGCGTAGTTTGCTACCATGAATGCTTAGCCGGTTTTAGCCGACAACGATAATATTAGCCCATGCAAAAAGATGAAAACGAAAATACGGAGATGTTGTTCAGCGATGATTACGGCAGTATGAAACGGAAATTAGAAAGAATTTACGATGGAAAGGAGCCGATCACAGATTTAGAGCACGTTAGTGGCTTGCTTAAGAAGCAAGGGGCATTAAACAAGCGAATAGACAAATTGATAAATGTTTCGAAGGCGTTTAGGGGAAAGGTGCACCTAAAAGAGGGAAGAATCTACGAAGTAAACTTGTTTTAAACTGATATTGAAAGGTTTTTACGTCAATAGCCATGTTCTTGAACGCCGTTGCCGAACAAACATGGTACATAGCTGCAATATGTTTTGGTAAATTGAACGATAATGTTTAACAGATTTATTCACCTGGTATAAGCTCTTATTCTACCATAGAAGATCACAACTCTTGGATAGGTATCACTTCAGAGTCACTTACTGCGCTACGCGTATCACATCAGGCCTGTGGCCACGGTCGCTTCCAGCAGACCAGAAAGGCGTATTCGCCCAGATGCTGCTGTGTGAGGGATAAATAAACGGTTTTGAGCGGAAAAGCAAATAACGATGTAGGAAACAGAAGTGCCACAAGAAAGGTTCATTGTGCCGCTCTCAAAGATTTACAGCACAGAAATCGCTTAAACAGCAGATTGATCGTGCTATCGCCAGCAATGCGAGTGTCCAAAGAAAAAATGAGCAGTTAATATATTTCAAAAGCGACGGATCGTACAACTGCTAGATGAGTTTGTATGTGGCTGTGAGATGGTTATTAAACAGCTTTACAAAAATTGGATCACAAAACCAGGATGACTGTTTCTGCAAGACTGGCACCGTGTCCTGGAGTAGAGGAATGTCAATTGAAGTATATTTGCTATTTATATCGGCCATTTCATCAAATGTGCTGTAAGGAGCGATACTTCCAGCAAATTTAGTGGATTTAGTCACTTCCGTTATCGTAGTAAAGTGTGCTTAGCGTTAATTTGAATAGATCGTGTTAAAGAACGCACGCCCGTATCAAAAGTGATGCTGGGCGCACATCTAAAAATTTAATGAGCAAGATCCAAGTGATTTATTTTAAATTCGAGAATAAAACAGGATATATGCGCCTGTGCTGCTGATATGAGATTCGTTTAATTCAGTTACGTTCATATCATCAAAGCTGTGCCATAACGAATTTACCTTGGCATATGCAACATAATGCCCGTTCCTCAACGTACCGGAATGGCATACCATGCCGGTTAGATGGTACGTCTTCTTGTCTATCTGCATCTTCTCGCTGACAACAACATAACTGTCATTTTTGCGATCAACATCAATAAACCTGGATAGCTGCAGTATGAGCACCTCTGGATAAGCCGTAATCTGCCTCGTAACGCACACCTTCGCCCGTTTCTTGCAGCTTTCGCACTCAACCTCAGAGTTGTACACCTCTTCCTTGAAATATTTGTCGACAGACTCCTGCATGCTCTCGGTCACGTCCAGAGTCAAATTCCTGAACTGATGCGTGTGCTCCGTCACTGCAAAGCAGCCCATGCATCGTAGCCGGTTTAACACCAGCCCAAAAAACGTTTTGACCATGATATTCGTCCTGCCAATCTTCCGCAACTGATGGACATTCACAATAGACATGTTGTCGAGCAATCCGAGCTCCTCCGTCAGCTTGCTGTAAAACAACAGCAGAAACTCCTGCGCATCCTGCTCATTCCCGTCCAAAATGCGTATTTCTGTTGCCAAACCGTCTATAAAAAACTGCGGATCCATAATTTTGCTGTCAATGTATTTTGTTATGAATCCCTGGAACTTTTTGCATATTTTCTGCTCCTTTGTGAACAAACCCGATTCGAAGTAGGTGACCACGGGATACGTGTACATCGTGCACTGCATCACAGAGTTAAAGAAGCAGTTATTTTTTGTGTTGACCAGCCTGCACGGCGCAGGTACGAGTCTGCGTTCCATCTGTACCATTTTGTTCAAGGATACCAAAAATTCAGAAATTAAAAAACTTTGGATATTTGAGGGGAGCAGGCCAAGGATACGACCGAGACATACCATTCACCATGAGTTCAACGAACCATACTTAACTTGGATCTGATCAACGTGCTCTTCACCGTGGTGAAGCGCCTTAAATGTGTGTAACCAAGTAGCGATGGTATTTCCTTGTTCTTGTTGTTGAGCGTCTCTGCTTTTCGTATGTAACCATCTGTGTTTGGCACACAGGATCGGCTATGGCCACTATTCCATGGTTCAACATTACAAAAAACAATTTTTCTGTCTACGAAAAGCATTCAAATCCTGCAGATAACAGCAATTACACGTCAAACAAATCCAGTTGATATTTGTACAAATTTATAATCTCATTATAGTACGATATAAAATGATGAAACCGTGTAACAAACATCGAATCTGCTCTATTCGTACTATGAAATAACCATTTCTTGCCAAGGTTTCGTTTATTTATCTCCTCATATCATAGCATCCAAATAATCACACTTCCCGATCCACTGAGACTGATCATGACCACGGACTTTGCTTCATGGAGAAAACTAGTGCTCCATTCCGTATAGCTCCTACGCATGTACCATCACCACAACAGAAAGGTATGCTGCAACGGTGACCTTAACGCGCAAGCTATGAATTACTTGACATTCTCCCACCGAGACCTTCAAAAGAATTCTTCGCCTCGGATCTGCAAATGAGTATAATTTCATGCAACCAAACATTCAGCCGAGGAAATGTGTTTGATATTTAACCCATCATAGGAACTTCTTGAAGAGATGCCACACGGTTTACCTCTCACCCTTCTCATAGAATGGACATTTTCTCCCGCATATCGAACGATAGCACCGTATTCAGCCAGGAACCAGACGTGCATAAGTGTTGATACGCATTTTAATTCACGTAACACGTCAGTTGCCGGATTAACAACAACAATTTTCCAAAATAGCAGGGATCGTAGGTATAAAGAGGCAATTCAAATGCTGATTGGTCAGTTCTCTGAAATAAATTGCTCAACCCAGCGCAAAACTTTACCATTCTTGTTCCACATTTCTATGCCAAATACGTTGTTAAGGATTTTTGTTCAACTCTTTTTTCTGGGACACTCTCAGTTGTTCGTTACAAAAAATATTCAAAAGACATGATTATTGGATGTAAATCAATTTACCAAAGATTCAAAACAAGGGACAAATGTAATATGATAATTTTTAAAAGGAAAGTATTTAGTGTGCATTCAAACTTTATTCCGTTTTTAAATAGAAATAGCGCAGCTAATGACTTGTTAAAATTTTTTATCACGCCTCTATCGGTGCACAACAGCCGCTCTAGACTTGAACGTTTCACGTTGAATGGCAAAAATCGCCTCCCTGAGAAGTGTGTGACCAACACGATATGGTTAAAGAGGACAGTGTGCTGTGGTTGTATTTTTCTTCGCTAAAAGCATGGTCATAGTCAAATTACGACTACTTTTTATCGGTGTCACTGCTACGCACCGGCACTCCCCTTGTAACCTGTGGGAACAATGAAGCGTACAGATTAACCAATTTATCAAGTACAACCGATAGATCGATGTGCCAGATTGCCTTGCATTTTGATGCCAGAAATGGAAAGAGTTTTGAGTTGCCCACAGCATGAGTCGACTGGTGAAGAGCACAACCTGTCATGAGTCAAAAATAATGGTGATATTGGCAAAGTGTTGTGCTATCAAAGCAGAAGAATGAAAAGGGAAAGATCCACAGCTAAAAAATAAGTTAAACGTTGAAGTTATTGCAGTATAGTGAGTGTGTTTGTGCCACTATCACTAAACGAGCGTATAAAGCGCAGTTTTTTCGAACGAGTTTATCTACACATTTCCTCTTCCAGTACTCTCAAGCATCACATTATCCGTGCCTCGTTACAAACTTGAAGCGGGTCTATCCGGTAAATCGTCAACGAGAGTAGATGCACCATTGGTAGTGTCTGCATCAGGAGTTTCAGGCCTCCCTGGCATTCCTGGGGTACCATCGGACCCTACATTCGTATGAGCAAGTAATGAATCGTTCGCTCCGTTGCTGGTTGTTCCATGGACCACCGGCTGATCTGTAACACTACTCATCCTTATATCATCTGTGCTAGTGCCCACATTCACATGTGTGATTGCATCTTCACCGGATAGAGAGGCAGGCCCTAGGTTCTCAGCACTATGATTGCCATCTGTGCTAGTGTCCCCACTCACATGTGTGATTGCGTCTTCACCGGATAGAGAGGCAGGCCCTAGGTTCTCAGCACTATGATTGCCATCGGTACGAACAATATTTGTACTATGATACGCACTGTCAGTACTTGATCCACTTTGATTACTACCAGTTATCAGTCTGTCAGACCATTTCAATGATTTCTTTTTCAGCACTGTTCCCTTATTATCTGCTAATTGAGTTCTCGATGTATCATTCTGTTCCATTCCTGAGTTAAAACACCTTTTTGGGGAATCAGCTAATCCCAACACGACAGGGCGGTCGATTTTCGGTGCGTTATTACTCTGAGTTATTGGCCGCAAACAACCGCTTTTCGTTTCATTTGTTTCATTTTTTGCATCTTTGCTCGCAGCATTTTTTTTTCCATTTTTGTTATCGATGACCCTATTGTTTCGATCGAACAATTCAGCTTTTCCCAGCAGACGTACCCATATGACTTTCCCACTCTCTGGACCAGCTTCCAAAAGAACTCCAAGTTTTGCCATTTTGTATCCCTGCTCCTTGATTATTAACTCCTCCGGTTTCCAATTATCGATAAGAATTAAGAGTGTTCTTTTGAGGCATTCTAACCACATGTCAACCACTTCCAACCGCATTTCAGGCTGTTTGTCATTATAATAGGAATAACGGTACATGGGTCGTTTTCCATTTTTATACATTTGTCTTGTGCGATATGACAATGTTTCTTGGACTTTCTCCAACATTTTTTTCAAAACTAACACTCCTTCACTTCGTAAAAAACTGTCAGCCGACATTGCCCTACTTAGCAGGCTCTCCAGTTCTTCCGCTTTGTACCTTACAAAGAAATCATCTTGAGAAAGCTCAAATATTTTATCCGTGGTATGACCCAACAATTTACTATACATTCTTTTAGCGATGTACACGTAGACCCTGGTGTCGATTACACCATCATCCAAGTTCTTCTGTACATCTTGAAGGAACGAAACTAAGCCTCTGTCGGCTTTCACATCATATTGCCCTTGAACCGTCGATTTGACAATTTCTACTATAAAATTATCACAAATCATAGCTTTCTGTTCATTTCCTTGCACATGCATTATATCCGGTGCGTACGAGGCCTCGAAAAGATTTTGTATGTTTTGGTCACTCTCGTAGCAGTGATCATAATCGCTTAGACAATCGTCAGATACCTCATCCAGAAATAAACTATCTTCAAATTCAATCCAATCCGATATACCGCAACTTGCACTGACCATTACAACAAGACACAATGTATAAAATAGCATGAACTTATCCGCTCCTCTTCTTTTATAGTTTTTCGATGATAAATTGCCGTCTTTCTGCCAAATATGACATCCTGTCCATCGCTATGGAATTAATTACGGCCTATTACATCACAATGTCAAGTTTTGATCAGCAATTACAACATTTAATTGCTTTTATCACATTTTTGTGTCGTTTGTTTTAATAAACCATTTCTTTGTCGGGTATTTCCGCGAACATCTTGATGGCGTGCAGCTGCAACGCTTCACAGTCTATAATCTGTGATGTTTTGTAGCAACATTTCAATATTTTTACTTTTGTCTGGAGCGTTTACTCACCGCTTTATTTTTACGTTCTAATCCGATCCTTTCCATTGCCAAGGAATTGTAAAAATTGAGAGAATTCTCTATCTTTGACAGACCAGTTTTTAATGAGAAAGACATTCCGGTACATTCATATTGTGTAATACGTAAATTTATTATTGTAGAAGACCTTTTCTTGTCAATTTGTCAACGCCGGTTCATTAAATTGAATTTTAATATTCTTCCGTATTAATACGACTTATCTGACAGTCCATACACATTCTACAACCAAATTGAATTAATCACGTTTTAAATATCATTGGAGTACCGATCGTGCATTTATAATAGCATGTCACGATAAATTTAACATCTTCTCATTTCTTCATTTATGTTCTGTACTATGGATCATATATCAGCGGGTGTACTTGCATTCGTACCAAAATACCAATACGTGATCCCCATCTCTACCAATCCAAAGTATTAATCAAGCTTAATAAATGTCTTAATGTCAACTTTGCAATCTCTGATACGTATGATCTGATCATTGGCAATAGTTAAATGCTTTTTTGTTCTGTTGCACACAGAATCGGTCGTTTATCTTACCAGCACCTAAAAAATGCTTTTTTGTTCTGTTAGGACTAACCGCAGCCGCTAGTTACCAAGGTATGTTCATTTGTCCTTTCATATCACAATACTTAAACGAACATACTCTCTGGTCCAGAAAGACTGCGGTATATTTGCACAAAATTACGGATTTATACCGCGTAGATACAACAGATTGCTTTCGTACGTAAATTTATTGAAGTATGAGGCTTGTCTTGCGTGTAGACGCAGGTTAAATGAAGATGAACTGGAGGCTTATGAAGTATTGAATAAGGTACCATGTCAGAGTATCAAATATGCGATATATACCAGGGACGAAGCCATACCCGTTGCGCAACAATTCTCTTATTTACGCACAGCATACGAGGAATCGGTCACGAACAATAGATCGATAGCTGCGCCCGTGCCTAAAAGACTGGAAAATACGCTCGCCTGCGTGAGATGATACGTATTAAATGATAAATAAGTAAATTATAGAAAAAGTTGGCAGGATCGGCACAAAAAACGTATGAAGCCCTGAAGTGGTACCAAGGCGGCAGACTGTTTTCAAACACGCTGAAGAATTATCTAACATCATTTTTAATGGCAAGGCGTATTTCCACGCGATCCGATGGTGCCAAAGTAGTAATTGATAGCAGCTGTAAAGTTGCAGCGTGATCTACCACTCTCTCGGCCCCTGTGCTTCATTTCCAGGATATCAAAGTACGTCCCAAAGCTCCAGTCAATGCAGTTCTGTCTTATGTCCACGCACAGTTTGATAATTACCATCTTGACCACGAGCACGGAGTTGCGGTCGTGCCTGAAGCATCGGCTATGGAACATCTTGATCAGCTTGGACACCCCTCGATGGCATCCCGAGCTTGACCCATGTCCCTTTCGCACGTTTGTTAGCATTTTACATATGTACTTGAACAATATTAGATCGATTTCGATGGGGCAGTTCAAGAAGGTCTCTGGCTTTAAAATGAACAGGGGAATGCATACGGGATTTGCAACGATGAAGTTCACAGAGCTCTGCACGGTAAAGGTTGTATTATCGCCACATATTCTGAGAGATAGCGAGCCAACACATGCTTTGGACTCATTGATGCACCTCGCCATTTGTATTGCGAATGGGCAATTGTACAGAACAAGGTTGCAGTACGCGATGCGGTACATCGCCAACGGATCTTGCATCTCCCATGCTTGTTCGTATTCCCTGAAATCCTTGTATATGAACTGACGGAGATTATCGAACGCCTTCAACAGAACCTCACACTCCCTGTCCGTGAGATCCCTGCATCCCACTTCGCACACCAACGGTGTTATGCACTTCTCAAGGATGTGCCGGCCGTGTGCAACGTGTCTCTCCTTGTCTCGGCACGATCTGTGGCAATCCGAGCCGAAATCGGACGATTCACAGTTGAAATCGAACAACCCGCCATCATGCTCTCTTCCGCGGTGGTGGCGCCTTCTCTCGGACCCGCACTCGCTAATGCATTCGGCTTCAAGAACGCCCACACCACTGCAGGAATCACGTGCCATAACACCTTGCAATGCACATGCCAGAATTGTAGTAGAAAGAACAATCAGATTTTGCATACGTGCACGGATCTGTTCCCTTTTATACTTTCGTGCTGATTAATTGCAATCTTTTAATGAACGTCCAATTTATCAAAGACCCAAAATGATGAATTGCGAGAATTTATCATTGAAATGAAGGCGGTAAGGAAAATTAACTGTCGTTGAGAACGCATGCACGGCTCAGCCGTGCATACCACGTCAGACCCGTCGAATAGACCATCAAGATACTAATTAAGTGATTTATGAGGAGGTAATTAAAACATGGGCATCAAATGATGTATAACAATAAATTTACCTACTACTTCGGTTACACGGAGGTGATGCGCTCACCAAATTAACGTATTCATTGAAGAACGGTGTGGCATTAGCAGGTACGCGTGCAATGAGGCTGTTCTACCCGAAACGGGGACGATAACCATTTTATGGCCTTAAGGCACGAGGACATGCTGGATAAAACCGCAAAACATTCGCTTCACGCGCATTCCGCTCAGCAGCTGCCACATCACACGCTTTGTTTTCAACACGAATCTGACAAGCAATTTAATTACGCCTCGATGATCTCATTTATCAGCTCTTCTCGGACTGACACGACCAATGGTGACCACCTCCTCGGCAGCCGTGGGGTGCACACACACGCAGTTGCTCAGGTCATCCAACGACAGCCCCTTCTTCATGCCCACCGCAAAGCCTTGCACGATCTCATCCACACCGTTGCCGAACAGATGGAGACCGACCACTCGACCGCCATGCACGATCGCTTTGAAGACTGTGCTTGTTTTGTTGTCGCTCAGTGCGTATATCAGATTGTTGAAGCGTGTCTCGTACACTTCTACGCTGCCGTACCGTGCAACCGCTGCCTGTTCGCTCAGGCCAACGCTTGCACATGGCGGGTGTGTGAAAACCACGCTTGGCACGAATTCGTACACATCAGCAGGAATAGGTTCGTGTTCGAACAGGGATCGTACGAGTTTTCGAGCACAGAATATTGCGAACGGCGTGAGCATGTGATTTGGTCCTATGAGATCGCCAACGGCATACACACCTTCCACGCTCGTCATAAATTTTTCGTTCACCACCGCGTAGCTGTTGTGCGTGTTTATGGGCACCTGCACGTACGAAAGATCGCAGTCTCGGCCAATCGCACACATCACAAAATCTGCGTTATTTATGACTGCGTTGTTCAGCACCACCTTATAGGTGCTGTCGCGTGGGCGCTCATCCTCGAATTCCACCCGGACCTCGTCTTTGTGTATTTCAAGGACATCTTCTTTGTCTTTGACGTTGATTTCTTCGCCATGTATGCCGAAGCGCACTTTGTTGTTGGTCCTGTCCTTAGATACGTCGACCACTTTTATCTGCTTGATTTTGTTTTTGTAGGCCTCATTGGGAGGCACATCGTTTTCCTTCTGCTCAGTTCTGTTCTGTCCGTTCCCGCACTCAGTGCTTGTTCCCTGACAGCCACGATTATCCTCGCCGGTCTCCTTCTGCTCATTGTTGCTCCTTCTATCCTCCTCACAAACCTCCAACACACTCTCCTCATAGTACGCCCTTATACGGTGCTTTTCAAGCTGCTCCTTCACCACAGAATCAAACAACTCGTCAAAATGCGAGAGAAACCGCTTACCGCGCAAAATAATGGACACCTCCGATCCAAGCAACGCCAGCATAAATGCAATTTCAAGTGAAATGTAGCCACTGCCTATTATCACCGTTTTCTTGGGAATGCTCTTCAGATAAAAAAAATCATCGCTGTATTTCACAAACTCTTTTCCCTTAATTTCCAAGGTCTTTGGCTTTGATCCGCTCGCCAGCAGAATATGCGTGCCATCATGCACCCTGCCATTCACCTCAACCTTTCCAGCCGCAATCACACGTGCGTACCCATTTATAACCTCCACGTTGTTGCTGCCAAGCATACTTTCATAGATTATGTTCAACCGACGAATGGCGCTGTCCCTGCACTCTTTGAACAGCCCGTAGTCAACCTCATAGCTGGGATATACGCCGTATGAGCGTGCGAGCAGCATGTGCTCAATTATGTTTGTCATGTTGTACGTGATTTTTTTGGGCACACAGCCCAGATTGACACATGTACCGCCCAGGTACGCATTTTCTATGAGAAGTACCCGCTTGCCCAATTTTGCAGTCTCGCGAGCAGCCGCTATGCCACCGCTTCCGCCTCCGATCACGATCAGGTCGTACATACGGTTCCGCACACCCCCGTCTTTTAATATTTTTCCGATGACCAATGAAACCGTTCCGCGCTTGAAAGACCAACAGCTGCAGAAAAGATGCACGTGACATGGACCAATTACACGTGCTAAAGCGATCTGCAGGCTGTGCAGTGTTTAACGCCCTGGTCATAATGCAGCACTGAGGTGCAAAGGATAGACAGCTCCGCTCTGCACCTGCTCAATTGGCAAGTAACGGCAAATCAAGTATTTCATCAATTCCTCGTGCAAATATTCTTAAACCACAGCATGCCAATGTTATGCTTTACATTGCGAGTGCGTTTGTTTATTCCCCGTATTGAGGCCCGTTGTGAGGCGCAATTGGAGTAGTGAGCAAATTAAAACGGGTGTTGTAGCATGAAACGATTAATAAACGTACTTTTAATGAAAAAGCTGTAAATTTGAAATAATTGCGTTAGGTGCAACGGTCTTTTACGTATGCCTACCGCAGGAAAATGCTCGTTGCGATTGACATGTGCTGATTGATGGTACTGCTCGTGCACTCATCGATCTGAAGCGTGCATCCCATTCTTAAACAGCGGTAAAAGGCACTTCTAGTCCTTTACTGCGTTACAAATCATTTTTAAGTGTTGGACCACCATGCAATGAGGTGGTTGAAAAATAATTGCATTGTCGGTATTCGTTCAATGCGATGCTGCACATTTGTCTATTTCGCTTCGGTGCACTCTTTTCGTATCTTCCACAGGACAAGTAATCGGATCTGCTCCGCGAACCAAAGAGCGCCAGGGCCATCGCAGGTTTTCAGGGCACCAGGAGTAATGTGTGATACGATGATCTAACAGACTCTCAAATAGATAAAGGACCTGCTGTGCTCACCAATAATGGCCTGATACGCGAAATCATCAATCTCTACAAATCAAAAAGAATCGAACAACAGATTTAAAAACAAAAAAAATTTTGGGCCCATGGCTTGGACTTACCGTAAAATTTAAAAAATTTTTTGCCCAACGAACGTGTGATGATAACCATTCACGACGGTCTACTGTACGGTGATGAATGTGTGTTCTGATGTTCTTTACGATGTACGGTTCACGATGGGCTAACGTGCTGTTAATATTGGTTGGTGGCAACCGGGTTGTTTGCTGGACAGGACAGCGTGCAAGTGATGATAACCATTCACGACGGTCTACTGCACGGTGATGAATGTGTGTTCTGATGCGCTTTATGTTGTTTTATCTTTCAAACACCTGCTCATGCCGCTTGGCAGAGCACCTTTTTTACAATTAATATGTTACTGGCCTGTAATAGCAAAATGTGTACTGCGGTCCGAATGGGCTGTTATAGCCATGGCAAACGCTCAGCGCATCAGGAGGGTCTGTGCGTGGTGGTGATTAAATAATTCTTAGAGGTAACGAGGTGTACCGAATTGAACGGCAAGCAGGACGGTTCAAGGGATGAAAGATACTCAGTGAGTGCATGCGGCCTTATCATGACCAATTGTGCGAGAAACGGTAATTTTGTGTGCGCATACGTTATTTATCACAACTTATTTCACTCTGTGTCAGCTACGGTCAATGTTATTCCATCCTAAGAATATGCTCTGTGTCAACATCAAGTAATAAATTGCTTTAAGCAGCTGCACTTGTCAAATCTATGTATTTTCAGCAACGGGGTGGTTGTTCCTCCATTCAAATCCTAGCAATCGCTCACATTCTCAACATCCCTTTTGTCGTATAAATTGCCCTGTTCAGGATGTGTCTGCATGCGCGGTACATTCTTTTGCAGTTCTTCATTACGAAAAAAATCTTACAAAAATTTTTGGAGCTTTTCTGCTCACGTCATTTGAAAGGAAGCTTGTTCAACGTTTTTACGAGGAAATGGTAGTTGTAACGAATTATTATTCCGATTTAGAGCAGCAACCGGAACAAAAATGCGGTGTACTCTTGCTAGTACAGAATATACCACGTGGTACCAGAAAATTGGTTGATATTGGTAAGTTGGACTGGTAACGAAAAAAATTGGAGAATCGCTAATGAACGGGCACTAAAACAAAGGTTACTGCCTGTACAACAATTAAAATACTTCTCTGTTTTATGGAGTAATACGAAGTGAAGGTTTTTGGTCCTTCTGTTCTGGCAAAAGATCTGTCTTGGCATATCGGCAGCGTAAGCTTACTTGGTCTATTCCTCTTTTTTATTTAATGCCAGTGCCAAATCAAATAGGCAGATACTTACATTTTTGCTACATACGATCTGTTGATGGTGTTGAAGTGCAAACCAACCGTATCGTTGACAATTGCTGTGCTGATTGCTCTTATCTTGTCGCCTATCCTTATCTCTTCCCTGATATTCCACCATGTAAAAATGCCTTCTCTGCAGCTATGAAGGTCCTTGACAAGCAGCTTGCAGTATCTTTTCAGCTTGAACTCTTCTTTAACGCCATGTTTGACGGCCAACACCTTCATGTATTCCATCTCCTCTTCCAGTTTGGTCATATCTACGGCTCGTTTCAGTCCTTGGCACTGAATCAGTACCTTGTCCTCAACAATTTTGATAATCGAGAACTCAATCGCTGGAACGAGACCGCCTGTCTTGTCCACATTCGTAAATTTGATCAAGAACGACGCGCATTTGGTATATCCCAGTTTCTTATCATCCCGTACGCGCATCACCGAGTTCGAGTGCATCTGAAAGGCAGGCCCGTCTATCGCAAGGATATCCTTCTCATGTGTGAGCAACTCTGCGTTAAAAACATAAATTTTATCGCCAATTTTCAATTTCTGTGCCACAACACGCCCCTGTATCGCCTTGTCCGCTCTGAAAAGCAGAGAGTAAAAGCCATCGTAAAGCTCAAGCATGCTGCCCGTCCTTACGATCATCAGGCACATCAATTTAAAGCATACATCGTCACCCTCAACGATTCGCCGGAGAATGCTGTACTCGCTTATCCTTCTTTTCTCCATCCTGTCTGCAATGTCCCTCTCTAGAGTATTCGATTTGAAGCAGCTCAGGTATGCCCATTTGAACTGCACATCGACCCATTCTTTTCTCTGATTTTTGTATTTCTTTGCAATTTTGGCGTAAATTTCTTCGATTTTTCTGTTCTTCTGTATTTCTAGTGTTGTATGTCCCTTCACAGGTTTTCCGTACATGCGCATCGGTGCATTTTTTGTGATGATATCGTTGTTTATTGGCGCAATATCATCCATTTTTACCCTGATTTCGTCTTTAGACGCGTGTTTTACGATCCGATTCTGTTTGTTCTTGTCTTTGGCATTTGCTCCCACGACTGGTTCGTTTTCTTTTTGTGCTCCATCAACACAGAACTTTGAATTGCATATGTCAATCCGACCACCAATTCGCGATATGCTTCGATTTTTATTCGTTTCATCGCTGATCTCTAGCACCTTTTTCTCCATCCCATTAATAGCACTCGCCTCTAATTCTTTCACGATTTGTTTTCCGGTATCACTTCTATTTTTTGATTGCTTTCCATTTAAATCTCTGCCATTCCGCGTATCTTCTGCCTTTGCACCCGTAATATGTGATCTATCATTCCTGATCACACTTTCTCCATCCACCGTATCACCCGGTCTAGTTCGCTTGCCATTTTCGTTCGACTCCTCCTTTGATTTGTTAGACGGCTCTCCATCAGAGAATACGCAATCTTCGGTTAAAACAGATACTTTGACCTGTGCGTTCTCCCTCATCCTTACATCATTAAAAATGTTCTCCTCATCGAAGACGTCCATGCTCACACCGACAGCATTGTCATCCGCTGCGCGCTCTGAATCCTGATCAAGTCTCTTAGCCATTTTTTTTATGGCATCTTCGCTGACATATATCTGTTTCTTACTCGCCGTTGTGAACCCCGTGAGCATCGAAGTGCTGTCCATATTTACTGTGCGTGCACTGCGAGTGCTCGCGTCATTTTCGAGTTTATGCTCGTTTTTCTGTGATGAAAAAAACGATTCCGAATGCAGAGGATCCCTTTGCTCCCTCAAATCAGTGATTTCATCGCTTCTTGGCTGCGTGAGAAAAGACGAAAAATCAATTAGCTCTGAGTTGCTTGAAGAAGCATGTAAATCCGGATAATGTTCAACGTGTTTATTTTGCTCGTCCTCAACGCTCGAAAAATTGCTGTCGCTCGCACTGATGTCTTCCGAGTCAAACGAATCGCTTGCACCAGTATGATGCTCTTGCTGGACGTAACGGATAGGCTCGTTACCCTGCATGGAACCAGCACAAAGATCCTCCTCAGAGCTACTGATCGAGGAACCACTCATCAAATCATCATCATGCAAATCTGATGAGGAAATGCTTTCCTCTTCTACCATCTCCTTGACCATGGGGTATTTTTCGTTAGAATTTTCTTTTGACGAAAACTCTGAGCTTGCGTGCACCCATTCCCATTGCCGATATTCTGCTTTAATGACCTTTTTTGATACGCCGTGATCATAAATGGTGTTGCTACTTCTCGCATTCGATCCTAGGTTCATGTGATTTTGCGGGACATCGGGTAGGGGCGTACCACGGCGGTTCACGAAACCGTTTCTGTTGAGTATCGAACCGGAGAATAATTCGTAGTCAGCGTCAGAATCATGGTGAGGTTGACCAGAACCAAGGAAAAGCCCCGTCTTTTGTAGAAGAGACGCGATATCCTGTCCATTGGTTCTTGGCCAGCCTGATGTGTATTCTGTAGCGCTTCCCGTTTCGATGTTATTTTGATTTTCTCTTGAATAAAAGACATTCGTTTTCCTTGAACTCTCTCGATTGACCAGCAGCCTGTCCACCAAACCTTGATACACACTTGGATCGTTTATCGTTACAACCCTATCATCAACTTTTTCTTCTTCCGTGCTTTTTGATATAGACGAGAGGTTCATCGTGATTTGCGTGCCGTCAGTATCATCTGAGCTTTCTGACATTGGAGATGCCAGCATGTTTTCATCGTTAATGCCCTCTTCCAAGTTCTCTGACACAGGAGATACCGGCGTATTCATATCAATTGCTGTTTCTGACACGGAAGCTGTTGGCATGTTCATAGTGCTAACTTTCTTTGCTGTGAAAGCTATCTGTGCATCTGAACTGCTGGTTGTCTCATCCATACTCATCGAACAGGATGAAACACTCGTAGAACATTTCCTGCTATTTTCAACATGTTTTACCATCGGTGTATTAAAGTTCTCGCTTTCTTTCCGCACTGGCACGAAATGACCAGCAAAATTTCTTACCGTCTCACCAGAATTCCCATTGTTCGGTGAAGACTCCGTCCTGTAGCCGTCATAATCACTAAACGGATTTGTGTACTCATCCTCGTCTATATGCGGAACATCAAAGCCGTTCCTGCGCATGTCTTCATCACTGAAAGGTTTTATTATTTCCTCCGTTTTAAGAACCGACACAGGTTCGTTTTCATCCGATTCGTGGTTATAGAGTCTTTGGTCATTATAGAGTTCCGATGTACTGGGATAAATACTGCCAGGATGCAGTAACTGCATTTTCCTCTTTTGTTTTTTTTTCTTCTCTGTTACGTTTGTTACGCTCCCGCTTGCGAATCCTATTCCATTCAGCCAGGCCATATCCGGGATTGAAGTGACTTTGTGGTCGCCTACTATTTGCATCCGAGCTTGTGTTTGGCATGGCTGCATTGTTGCGCTGTTCCTCTATGTAAAAGCCTACAATGCGCGGCGAAGCTGCTTTCGTATCGGATTCGTCCAGTTCATAGTCACTTTCGTCTGAATGAACAGTAAAATTGCACGTGTCTTGTTTCTGTGCACTCATTAACATTTACACATATTTGTGCTTATTTATACTTTAGGTAAAACAAAGAAACCCGTGATCGGTTTCAAATTATATCACCAAACAAAGACACCATTTGCTATTTTCCACCGGTTATCAATGATTTTGATCTTGCATTTCCGACAGGACGGTATATCGCGTTAGTACAGACACATTTTTTCGTCTTTTGCCATGAATCATTTGGTAATGGTGTGTCTTTTTGTTATGACAGCATAATAAATTGTACTATAACAGCACTCATCTTTCGTTTTTATCAGCTTTTTGAGTTGTACAACTTGTTAGTGCCAACTACCACTTAATATTTCGGTTGTAAAACCATTTCTGTAACCTTAAAGCAATATCAAGTACGTTATTTGGTATACTATTAAATAAATTATCAGCAACATGCCACAATTCATAATCAAGAAGAGAGCCAGGCGTTGTTATGTAATGAGATAAATAGGCGTTCTTACGATTGACAAAACGAGAATGGAGCATCCTTTGATGGGACAAAACATTAAATAAAGGATGCTAAAACACAAAGGCAAGTGTAACCACGAACAAATGATCATAGGAACAACGAATAATTTGCTGTTACATCGATCGCAGCGTTTTGATCACTGAAACCAAGAATCGTTTTAAAACAGATCACAAACAAAACACAACGGAATGTTTACCAGCAACTGCGTTAATATGGTCTAATACATGGTAAACTACTTTGAACAAACAAAAAGACTTTACCCATCGTTTTAGCGGTTAACCCCTTAAACCATCAATGTACCGAATTTACAAGTGCAAAGATTATTTAAAGAGCCTAAATCATTGTAACCATAGCCAGTGCACAGTTTGTTTACCAGTGCGTAAATAACTCATAACCATAGTTGAACATTGAAAATAAAATAAAAAGCGTTGAAGAACACACATCTGTGCTAACATTCAATAACGATTCCTTATACAACACTAATGGTTCTTTATTCGAAAGGCATTACCAAAACTATGAATCTGATGAGAGGTGACTGAAGTTAACGTAAATCAATTCATATGAAGTGCTTGACTCTACCATTCAATCCATCAAATGTAACGAATACGATCATAAATGCTTACTTAATGCGAATCCGTGTGTCAAATTTTGCATTGAATGTTCATCCAATATAAATGTAACCGTTTATTGTGCTATTCATCAGCTTATGTACGAGTGCAGATAATTTTTTTGATGGACACAATGTAATTTGTTATGTATGCAGAGAGTTTATCACGATCTCCTACAACGTGATAAGCCCTTATTTCCATATCAAAGTCCACATTCCCTCATAATCTGGCCTTTGGTCATGACTGGTCACCACTTCATCAGTAAGCGCAGTTACCCACGATGGTAATATTTGTTCTATATTTGTTCTATATTTGATTATTAAGCTGCTTTATTCCCACAAAACGAATAAATATTCATCATTTATTACCCTAAGCATAGAAGTAAAACTGCCCTAGACCTGAAGAGAAACAGAATGTCTTGAATTGCTTTAAAGTACCCCTCAGAATGCATCTCAAGTGCAACAATCTGCGCTGCCGCTCCACCATCCAGAAATACATTCTAATCACGCCATGCTCACACGTATACTGTGAGACGTGCTCACCAAAAATAGAGAATATGCAGATCTGTGTGGCATGCAAAACTATGGTAAGAAAGGATGAGCTACTTGTACGTGAGCTGACAAAGCCACCTTCAATCGTTGGCTATCCGCCAGATGATGTCTTGGAGTGCGCGCGTGATGCCATATCATTCTGGATGTATCAGGCGCAGCAACAGGAATACATAATGAAAACTATGTTAGAAAAGGCGCATTCTGACGCATATAAGGCGGTGCAACACCTCAAAACGTGTAAATTGAGCGCAGCGATTGAAAAAGAGAATATGAAGAGTTGTATCAAGAAATTGGAAAATAGTTTGAAGCGGGAAAAAGAGAATGTGTATGATCTAAACATGATGCTTAGGGAGAAAACAGACGAGTATAAAAAACTGTTAGTGCGAAAGGAGCGAAAGACTATAAATAGAGGAAGTTATGAGAGTACGTACGAGGAGTAATAAAAGTATAACAGAAATACCGTGTATTTGAGAGTATTTATTGACCATACATCGTAACAAATGGTCCATTAAAGTCATCTCAAGTAAGAAAAATCCAACGAGCAATTCATCGAACCTAAGTTGTAAAAACTAATCTCACGTATAAATCGTCATAGATGATAACCCACAAGCACGTCGTACTAAATTATAAACCAATTCATCGCACCATTCCCAATAGAAACCATTAAATTGCACAAATTGTCTTTAATATAAATTATAAGACATGGCTACGTCACGGCCAAAAGCATCTTTTTTCTATCCATAAATCTTTTCCAATTCTACGAATACCTCCGTATCAAGATATATTCCCTCCTTATCAGTGGGCCGCTCATATTCCATAGCACACTCTGCATCAACATATCCAATCTTGCGCAGTTCAACCATCTCATCACTCGTTTGCTGTGTCCATTTTTTAATAAATCTTACACGGCTAAGCAACAGCGTGCGTGTAAATGAGTCAATATAATGCTCCTCCTGCAGGCTCAGCGGATAAAACGCGCATGCACGCTGAAATGATTTGAGAAACGCGTTTTTTAGGAAAAACGTGAGCACGGCGAGCACAAACAGGCACAAGGATAGGTACATGTTATGAGAAGTGAGGTACTGCACGGCAGTGCTCGTCTGGAAGAATATTAGGATGTAAATTATGTACGTGGCTGCAAAGTTGAAGTGGACACCGCCCGTCTCTGTTTCGTTCTTCACGCAGTAAATGAATTCGTTTTTAAAAACGACGAAACATGAGATGTAGAATACAAAGCCCACTACGAGAATGATCGGTGTGAGGATGCTGTACACGAGGCAAATAGCAAATATGAGGAGCATGTTGGGATAAACGGTGCCAAAGTCGAGCGAAATGCTCTTCTCGAGCTGTTTCTTTGAACGAAGAGTCTTGTTGCTGAACATGTACGCGAACGCTTTCGATATCAAAGGACCTACTTGCAGGAGAATAAGCACCTGCCCAACAAGTGCCTTCTGTATAAGTGCGTTCATGAAGAACACGCTCGTCTTGAGCAAGCCTGTCTGAAGGCCTTCAAGCACTTTCTTGACCTCGTCAAGACCAGAAAGCTGGTGAACCGAGTATGTGGTAACAAACGAAAGGAAACCGTTCAAAAACAGAAATATGGAGTAGCGATTCATCAGGGAGACCTGGTCAGCTGTGCCCGAGTAGTTGCTCTCGAGCGTGATAATGAGCCGTATGAATATCGGACCAATGGTCATCAGAATGTTGTACGCGAGGGGAGAAAGGATGCCGTTCAGTGTCGCTCGCCAGTTCGCGTGTTCTTTCAGGAGGTCTGCCAGCCACGTAAATTTACCTTCGAGATACTTCAAGTTGCAGAATGATGCAATCAAACCCACCGCGTAGAAGAACATGAGCGTGAACAGCACAAACAGAAACGAGCACAACAGCCGTTGCATGTTTGCTATAAATGGGCTTTTGTTGATGTTGTCGTATTTTATGTCGTTTGGGGCAGGAGCAGGTTCTGCGATGCACGAGAACATTTTGCTGGAAATGAGCGATTGGCACAGAATGCTTGCACTTCTTTGGTGCTTGAACGAAACGATGCCTGCACGTGTTTTGTAGGGAATTTCGAGGTTGAAAGACGACCGGAAAACTGCATTTCTCAGACACGCATGGTATGTCTCACTATTTACGCTGTTAGTGGGTGATCCCAGATTATTTTCGTTCTTTTCAGACCCTTGGTTTTCCTCGTCATTGTCTTTGTTTTTCTCTTCGTCATTTTCTTTGTTTTTTTCCTCGTCATTTTCTTTGTTTTTTTCCTCGTCATTTTCTTTGTTTTTTTCCTCGTCATTTTCTTTATCTCTATTCTCATCCTTTACAACCGTTTCATCACCACCCTTCTCCACATCGTTCTCTTCGCCACTCCTCTCATTGTTATCCTTCCCTTTGTCGTCTTTCACAAGGTCATCATCCCTGTTCTCCTTGCTCTTGTCACCACTAGAACTACTCCTTCCATTCCCTTCCTTATCCTCTGCACTCTTAAAACTATCATCACCCTTCAAATTCTCCTTGTCGCTGTAATCCCTGTCATACAACTCGTCCTGTATAATCTCAACGATGTTCTTCTCAATGGTCGTATCCTCATTCAGCTTCTTAAGCTCTTCTGTGATGTCATCATGGTTCTTCTTCAACTCGCTGAGTATGCCCTGTAGCTTGTCATACTTTTTGTCATTAAAGAGCGCCTTGAGAAGGTGCACTTTCTTCTCAATAGGCATTATTTTGCTATTTTTTTCCTCCTCAAGCTCCATCGTTGAAGCAGAGCCTGCAGACCCATCGTTTACATTGCCGCCTGCTTCCTTTTCACTCAACTCCGTTTGTGTGCGTTGCCTGTAAATCGCGTAAATTTCGTTTTCAAGGCGTATCACGATCTTCTTTTTCCTGGAAAGCAATTTGTTGTACCTGCGCGTGTCCCTCACAATCATTGCGTTCTTCTGCTCGCCCAAGCCCAACGCACTCACATACGATGACAGGTCCAGACTGCTCTCAAGATACGTGGGCAGCCGTGTGAGAAGGACGCTCTTGGAGGGTGCATTCACGTACTCAACTGAATGCTTCTTCATGTACTCGATGGGATGCATCGTGGCCGGGTTGCGTATGTATGCCTGTCGCAGGGAGATAAACGATTTGGCGTAGCTGTAGAGTACAAGAATGACAATTGTCGTTATGATGAACACCACAACAAACGAACACAGCTTAACGTAGTACTCGTCCTTGTTTCTGTAGCACAGCGAGAAATAAATCTCTTCCGAGTTGAACGCCCCAAAAGCGTACAAACCACACAGCGGCAGCGTTACAAAAATTATCATGTAAAAGAAAATGGTGGCGATCATTTTGAACAAAGAGAGCATGACGTAGCTGTCCAGTCCGTTTATGTTTATCATTTCGATGTCCGTTGTCCGGTAGATCGGCAGTATCCAGTTTAAAATGCCCGTGTGGTTGTAAGCGGGATGTATTTTCTTCTTTCTCGGATTTGGCGAGAATATAAGCCTAAATTTATTCCTCAGGATAAGAAAAATGATGAATAGCACGCTGTACACCACAATCTGCGTGCTTGCGTTCACCATTATCGATTTATCTGCATCGTGGATGTCGATCTGCGTGTCTATGCCCGACACCTTCTCGGCCTCAGTCTTTTTTGCCATTTATGCTGAGGATGTATTTTCTGAAAATAAATAATGCAAATATTTTTAATCGTGATTTGATTGGTTATGGCAATGAAGGGCAGTAAAGGAGGCGACATGATGAATGAACAGCTGCGCTTAAATTTTAAAAAAGGAGTGTGTGTAAACGATTAGTGAATTAAGGCGAAATACCATATCAAGAAAAGACGTGTTCATGATGTGATGGGAAACTAAATTAGATTGTTTTAGCATACCAAGTAGCACTTCTGTGCAAAACACGTTGTTTATTTTCATGTCTTCGTATTTCAGCATTGATCCTGATATTTTACACCGTAGAACGGTGTTACACAACCTTTTGGTAGTTGACAGTTCATATTCCATAATTTTGATATTTTTTGTAGCGGCACTCTTCCTTTGTACTCAGCTACCGCAGCACTGCTTACCTTTTTATTGTTTGTTTTGAACCCTTTGTCGCCCAAAAAGAAAGTAAATCGTGAATAGCAGCTCAGATGTTTGTTTTGTAATGTTAGGCAGAGAAGCGCGGCAAAGATGAAAACGTATTGTATAGGTATTCAAGACATCAGGTAGAAATATGAAGAAGGAACATGATGCGCGCTCCTTGTACGCCTAAAGTACCAAACGAAAGAGTAGGGTTGAGGAAGCCTGGTGTATCCAACATGATTCTGTGAATGAGAAGGTATCGATGAAAAATACGTGGCTCAAAGTAGTAAAGCACATGCAGTGTATTAAAAAACAGACAGGAAGAGGTAAAACGCTGAGTTGTCCATGGTCCAGAATATTTTTTATTCGACGGAAGCGGTAAAATATTACATGGTTCAATTGAGAAATAATAATTAGGTGTGAGATAAACGTTCTTTCGATAAAAATCTTTAGATGTATTAACTTACCATATTTGATCAAATCTCAAGGACACGTCTATTTAAACATGAAAACAGGACAAGAAAATAACGTATGTCACTTTAGTCAATGTTCTAACAAACATTTAACTCGTTCACCACATTAAACTATGAAAATAGGAGAGTAAAACGGTTTTTTGTTGTGAACTGATTGGATGGTATAAAATTGTACGAATGTGCACTAAGCAGTCGAGTAATTTTTAAATAGACATCCTATTAGTGGATGAAATTGATTAAAACATCTGTATTTGTGGACAGGATATAGACTCGTATTACATATCCTATTTCAGAACTGTACCATATGTTTATTGCTAGTGAGAGCATAGATCATATCGCAAAAAAGGGACAGAACGTCCTTTATTACCAAGTTGTCTGCTCGTTGCCGATAAAAACTTTTGCCTTGCATCACTAGCACCATAATTCTGTGGGTAGCACAGAATTATTCGCAGTTTCGTGTCGTATCTGAACTAAAGTTGCTGTCAGCATTCCATTTAATACCAAGAAAAGTTTTCATCTATTCTATAAAGCTACGTGATCAAACACAAAACGGTGTTGACAAGTCGTACTGTTATTCTCGCAAGCTGCCTTGAACAACGCACGGTTTGCTCTACTTAGTCTATTTATGTCTCTTCTTAGGTTAAATCGAGCGTAGCATGCTCTCGATATGATAAGCGTGTATTGACAGGTTTAGACGTATCTTCAAGATAAAAATGTTTATTTCCTGCCACACGTAGCGATAGGTGTTCCGAGCGTGAACCATTGGTTTTGATGTCACAGATGTACGAGTTGTTAGCTATGTCCGTAAACAAAACAGTTCTTGAAATTGCTGCGTATTATGTAAGTGTTGAACAACTTTCCGTACGAAAAGTAGTAACTGTCAAGCGAGAGATCGTTATTACTGGGATGTAACATTAAAGAGCGCGAAATTTTACCAATCATAATTAAGCAATCTTTATTGTTGGTACAGGTCATTTAACTTCGTTCTATCTACACATTTGATTTCTTCACATCCATTTTCGCAGGCTGCGTTCTTACATTCACACACATACACGCATCCATCAGGTCCTGTTCTCTTCTCCTTGTAGTTCTTCTCGAAGATTAGCCTGTCCAAAGGCGTCATGCGCACTTCTT